GCAGTTCAAATAATTTTCTATGCATTTACTGTTACATACTAAAAAAAAATATTATTATTACGTTTTTTTAATTTTATATGCAATCTAAGAATGTAATTAATATTTAAGTATTTTTTGTATCATTATATGAGGACACTTCATAATGTCAAGATGTCCGAATGTTATATCAAATTAAATTATTTGTTAATGTGGTGGGGTTAATGAAGAAAGAATAATGGTTGTGTGGTCATGTTTAAAAAAAATAGTAGTAGTACGCATCATATAATCGCCTTAAAAGAACTTTGTGAATATATATGTCAAATAAACGTTCAATTAATTAACCAGTAAGAGCCTTTTTATATAATCGTTTTAAGAAATGTTCCTAACGCTTATCAAAGCGATGATGCCAGTTTTCTTATAAATTTATTTTAGCTTCAATGCGAACCTGAAAAGGTATTAATTTTACTATGATGTGTTTTATTTTTTGTGACAGTTACTACTTTTTTTCAGCTATTACTGAACAGATTTCTTTCAATGATACGTCAAAAGATCACAAATCGTATCTAGTCGAAGACATTACCCTCAAAAATTGAAAAAATTTCACTTATTCTCAGTAAATAGGAAAAATGTTCAAAAAAATCGTTAATTTTCGAAATTTTTTTTACTAAAAACTGCCGTAACTTTTTCAAAAATGAACATATCAATATAATTTTTTTTTATAGATGCATGATGTTTTTACCGATCATTTGGTATATTTTTTTTATAAATCTGACCCTTTACCTGCCTACTGGGGGAAATATAAAATGACAACTTTTTTACAAAAAATTAACTTTTGAAAGTGTTTCGGAAAGTCTGACACTTTTATATAAATTTTAAATTAAAGTTATGTAATGTCATTTATTATGAAAAAAAAATTTCGGACTTTATTTTGTTTTCAAAGTGAAAATGGCTACCGAATGCTATTTTTATGTGAAAATTCTCGATTTTATATTTTACATTTTTTACTTTAAAATGCTATTACTTTTTAAAAAATGTATGGATCAATACAATTTTTTCATGATAAGTAGTATTTATATACATCTTTCATTCGACATACTTTTTTTTAAAATAACACTATTTCCCTTTATATATTTATTCATATATTACACTTATAAATTATAAAACTTATCAGGATATAAATAAGGTAATAGGAGATCATGTAGCTATTGGAAAAATCCACCAATTTTTAGCTTCGATGCGAAGCTGAAAAGGTATTGGTTTTACTATGATGTGTTTTTTTTTTTTTTTTTTTTGTCTGTTACCACTTTTTCTCAGCTCTCACCGAAAGGATTTCTATCAACAATACGTCAAAAGATCACAAATCGTATCTAGTCGAAGACATTACCCTTAAAAATTGAAAAAAATTCCCTCGTTCCCCGTAAATGGGGGAAACCTCCAAAAAAATTACAAATTTAAAAATCGCTAATTTTCGAAATTTTTTAAATTTTTTTTACTAAAATGTGCCGTAACTTTTTCAAAAATGAACATATCAATATAATTTTTTTTTTATAGATGCTTGATCTTTTTACCTATTATTTGATATATTTTTTTTGTTATTTATTTATTTTATTTGAATTTGGCGCTCAAACGATTTATAGTAAACTAAAACTATTGATATTAATAGACCTTCTGAATTGTCTTATTTTTCTATTTGTTATTTATAGCCCAATGGTATTGTAAATAGATTGAAATTTTCAAATGTATGCTGTTCATTATGTCGGTTTAATAAATTTTATGAAAATAACACACAGAATTAAGTGCGGGTGGTTGAAGTGGAGAGAAGCTTCTGGTGTCTTATGCGATAATAGAATTCCGATGAGGCTAAAAGGTAAATTCTACAAGACTGTAATAAGACCAACTATGATGTATGGTTCAGAGTGTTGGGCGGTTGATAAGAAAGTAGAGCAGAGAATGAGTTTAGCAGAGATGAGAATGTTTAGATAGAATATGAGAGTGGAGTGACTAGAAAAGATAAAATAAGAAACGAGCATATAAAAGGGAGTATAGGTGTAGGGTTAATCGTGAATAAGATGAGAGAAAATAGACTTAGATGGTTTGGTCTTGTTATGAGGAGAGAAGAATCGGAAGCTGTAAGAACAATTATAGAAATGAATGTTGAAAGAGGAAGAGGTAGTATGTATGAAAAGGTAACTGTAGCAATCTTAGTTACTATTATTTTGATAGTAACATATTTTGGCAGGGAATTGGAACTCGGTTCTTTTTCACAGTTAAGTTTATATTGAAGATTAAGTCTACAGAAACGCCAAAAAAAATTGTTGAGAAATTATAAGACTTAAGATGAATTACTATGTTGATTATATGTACATAGATTGACCTATATTACATATCAAATAGTGTCGTTATAATCACATAAATGTAAATGTCTGTTGATTACTTTGGGAGCTATATTTTGTTTGATTACCCTAAACCTTTTTATTAATCATAATACATAAAATCTCAGGTAATGCAATTGCTTAGCTTGTCCCTTGCGGGCGTTCTGAAATATACTTATCAGAATTATAGGCAACTGTTGAAGAAGTTATTCCATTAACATTTTAATCATTATTTAAGAATCAAAATTTAACGGTTCTTAGATATACTAGTAAATTAGATATGCATTAGTCAATAATAGACAAATAATTACAATTATAATTCGATAATTATATCTTTTACAAATATTGTAAAGATTATATAAGTAATATTTCGTGACTATATAATAGTAATAAGTTATAGACCACAATATGTTTGATTTTTATGAACATTATTATTACACTATTCGAGTAACCAAATATGTAAATTATTATTTAATAATTAGGATATCAATAAAGTAGATTTTTGAAATTAGGTCATAATCTCTAAATTTTCGTTTGATTGAAAACGAATATAAACGTTACCACGATAGTACAAAGAAAATTTGAGTTCATTGGAAAATAGTGAATTATTTATTTATAGAAAATTTAAACGGGCGAGGCTCAATATATACAAGGAAGACGACCATTTAGTTTGTAGAGTAAAGTTTACTATAATATTTAATATAATTTGGTAGAACAGAATAAATTTACAATACGTACAATAAGTATTAACTAATATTTACTTTGTTTTTAAGGTATACGTTAAAAGTGAATATATTGTTACAAATGAACAAATCAACGTTAAATTTGTTTACATGGCTCATTAACCTAGTAATGGAGGCATTTTTAGCATAGTTAGTACAATGGAATGGCGCATAAAATGTATATAATTTTTTGGTATGAAAAGTGGGTACTAAAAAATTAAATTTAACCAGTAGTTCAGAACAATTTATGATACCGTTTAATAACTTAAAAGTGAAACAAATATCGAGTCTGATTCTCCTTGCTTGTAAAGTTTCTAAATTAGTTAGTGTTGGTGATGGTGAATAAAATGTGTGTCGCTGGCGATGAAAACCGCATTTAAATGCTAGAAATCTCAGGAAGCGATTTTGAATCACTTCAATACCATCGGTATTATATCACAATATTAGATATAAACGTTTTAAAATTTTAACATTAAATACTTTTTTTAAATATTTATATTTAAGGTATTATCTCGTAAGTTATTGATTGTTTTTAGAGAACGGGAAAATCTGTATAGCTTATGGTGACGCAAATAAAGAGATACTATAATCCTCACAAACAAAACTTTCGTATCCTAAAGCTCCATGATTTTGTTTCTGTTTTATACGAGTGTACATATTTTCAACTATGCTTATATCTATAAAAAGGTATTTATAATTTGTATTCTATAGGACTGTGGATATTACAATATTCAGTCGGCATAGTAATGAAACAAGTTAGTAGTGAGGTAACACCGCCAAAGGGATCAATGAATCTTACTCTTAACAATCTCAATCCAATGAGAAAATCACAAGAAAAATCTCGTTGCAATTCTAGGAATCGAACTCAGGACCCTGTGCGCCGAAAAATACGTTTTTACCCACTAGGCCAGGCAGACCCCTTAATAAAACATAAAGTGATGACCAAAAAAAAATAGGTCTTTAGAGACATATTTCGTAAATATCAGCTTTAAAAATATTGATAGCACTAGTCCAATGGAGGGACCCCCTTAAATACACCCCTATGTCCTTGATTGATTTATACAATTCTAGTCCAAAAAGATATTATTATTATTTAAATATTTATTACATATCATCATAAAATACCACCATTCAGTGTAATAATTTAAAAAATATCTAATCACAGAATTTTAATGATAGAAATTAAATGATAGGCAAGAATATTATTGAGGACACAATTTTTTATTAAATGGCTATTCTATCACATCATGTGTAAGCAAAATCCTGTAGCTAATACACGTGTAACACATTTATTAGCTACAGGATATTTTGTATGTTATGCAATTGTTATTATTTCCATTTATATAAATTGAAGTTGTATATTTTTAGAAATATCTGAGTAACGAAGTTATCAAATACAAAATGGATAATTTAGCTACAGTGTTAGATAATGAGATCAAATTAACCATTACGTCGTATTAAAGTTTATATTGTTTATTTAAATAATTATTTTAAGAACATTGATTACACGTTCACTATATTTCGAACTATTGAACCTAACGATGCGGTGTTTATCTGACATTTAATGAGTAACCAGGCTAAGGTCATACGTTGTATATTATTTTAATGTGAACAGTGTTAGAGAATAAATATTATATTTTTTTAATTCTAAACAATACATCAATATTAATATAAAATACCCACAATTGTCATAAAAAATTATATGTCGTGTTATTATTTTCTATTATTTATGTCAAACTAAGTGAATGAAATCTGTGTTATTGATTTTAAAGTTAAAAAAAAATATATTAAAAAAATGTTTTTATTATTTATTAATAATAAATATTAATAGTGTTATTTATTATTTGTTTTAATGGCAGCACTGTAACTCCTTATGGTGTACTTTTGGAGGTTACATTCGTATCTGAGCTATACATTCGCTAATCGCTTCGTTCGTTACAATCATTTTTTCGCTCGACGGTCAGCAGCACTATCCAAGTAAGGCCGTAGTTGTTAGTACCCTAGATATTTATTATTTGTAATAGTGGTTTATAGATTTGTGTTGTTTATTCCCTTGTTTTATACATTTTCAAATTTTCTATCATTGGAATTTCCACGTTCATTATTTAGACTACTATCAAAAATAAATTTACGTATATAATCAACAAGTTTTGTAAGTTATGGTGATTCATTAACGTTTGACGAATACAATAATAATTTTAGTAGTTTTTGATTTCTCTATGGAGATTACCGATTTTGACAGATTTTGTGGTTCACCTTTTTGGGTAAGTAACTTGTTATTTACATTTTATTTTATATTTACTTTTGATTTACTGGTGTATTTTGATTACAGGACTATAATTTGTCGTGGAACACGACTAATCCCGATTTAACGTTATGTTTTGAAAAGACTATATTAGTATGGATGCCGTGCTTGTTTTTGTGGGTTTTCTCTCCTTTAGAAGTTTTTTATCTAGTTCATAGTAAATTCAGGGATATACCATGGAATTGGCTCAATTTGTCCAAAATGGTGAGTCAAATATATGTTTACTTCTATTTTATCAACTATTTTATGATTTACTTTTTATTGAATTAATTAATCATTAGAAATTAGACAGAATTTCGGTTAGAAAAACTAATTGTAGGGTATTTAATTATTTATTTTTTAAATTGATGTTGAAATTAAACTCTGGTATTATAATAATAATATTTTTATTATTATAGCAATATTATTATTAATTACTGTATGCAATCCACTTGAAAAAAAATCAGTTATGTTTCTTTTAATGGTTTTTAAATTTTATGAATTATTGAGGTACTCAAATCAATTGTTTGTTTTTACTAGTGTTTTTTCATTTACAATTGATATAATCTTGTGTCATCATTTTAATCTTCATTATTTTAAGTTTGACCTAGATTTTTAAAAATTTTTAATTATAGTTTTAAGAAATAAAATGTATTGTAATATGTATCTATTGTAAACTCCTTCATGTTACTCAAGTAAAAATAAATCCAATTAAGGAAATTAAAAAGAACTTAATTTAATAAATTAATCATACAGAGGATCAGTTTATCTTAATCTACTTGATTATTCATAAAATAAATACAATATTGAGAAATTAAAATTTTGTTTTTTTTTAGTTGCATATATTTCTTGATTTATCAGTTATCAATTACTTTTTAGAATCATTCCTTTTAACTTAAAGTGGTATCAAATATATGTTTTTAAATTGCAACATATTAAACTAGCTTATAAAATAGTTCATATAATACAAAATGATCCAATTGAGGTATTGACTGTTCGGTTACAGCTTTTGGACTAGTACTCCTAAAATTATTAACTTTTCACTATCAATTTAAAAAAAATTAAAATAACATTCGAAGTATTGGTCTAAAAGTGTTATCAATTATAAATAAATTGGATCATTATTTAATAAATAAGCTAGTTAATTATATATGTTGCCATTTGAAAATTAATGTTGATACCCATATACATTATAAGGGATGATTCTAAAAATGAATTAATAACTGATAAATCAAGAAATTAAAATGTTTTTTTTTCAATACTTTATTTATTTTATGAGTAATGGAGTGGTTTGTAATAAACCATTAATTTTGTATTTTTAATATTAAGAATAATTTCAGTAAATTGTATTGATAAATAAATTTGAGAAATTAATGTATGTATGATATTTAAAGTATCAAATCTTATAGAATCGGTAGTGTACATATATGATTGCAATAAATATAGAAAACTTAGAAAAGTCAGAAGGTTTTAAAATGTTAATAATTGTTGGAATATTCTTAATAAGCTAAGTTAGTGAAAAGGCGTATAGAGTTCTTTGTTCTTTAAAATTATAAGTAAATTAACAAACTACAACACATTCTTAAATGTGTATTAATTACATGTTTAGTGCCCAATATTATAATAACAAGATAATAGAATAAAATATATTTTTCTATTATATACAATAAAAAATATAATAAAACATCTGCATATGTCATAACTCATAAGTAATAGGTCTAATACTGTTCTTTGAGGAACACCATAAATTGATATAATGGAATTACTATAATTATTTTCAATCTCGACACGTTGTGTTTTATTTCATAAATAAGATTTTATTAAGTTTAAGACTGTACCTCTAATACTATAATTGTAGATTTAAAGAAATTAAATTATTAATAATCTAACTTTTTTAATGAGAGATTCATAAAATCAAATATATTTTTTTTTTATATAAGTATTTTATATTATTTCTTTTAAATCTAAATTTTATGTACATAGTGAGATAATGTTGAAAGTAATTCAATTTTAGAATTTCCCTTTCTAAAACCAAATTGGTTTTCAAAAAGAAAATTCTAATTATCTTAAAAGTTTGTTATTCTAACTTTCAAATACTTTTCTAAAATTTTAGACAAAGATAATATTTAAGTCTGTAATTTCTGCAGTTTAATTTATCATCAGATTTTTCTAGTTGAATTATGTCAGATTTGTTGATTATAGTGGAAAAGAACAATTGATGAATATTTGATTTAACATCATAGTCATCAAAGATATAGAAATACTAAATATTGTATTTTTTTTTTTTGAACATTTGTCATTTTAATAACAAAAAAAGATGATTCATTTAGCAATTTCTTAATCAGTTTAACTAATTTGTATACTTCAATGACATTTAAATAAATTTAATTATTAATGTGACAATTATTATTAGCATCTTTCCATGACATTTCAATATTACTATTATCAATACTAGTCTGTTTACCAACATTAATAAAAAAAACCCAGCACAGGAGGGGGGTCGCGGCACTGTGGTAACGTGCCATAGTTGAATCAAGTATAATGATATCTTACAGTGATTAAAGTCACTATCAAAAAAAACCCTTCAATGCAAATCTTTAGATATTGTTTAATTTTAAAAAATTGGTGGATTATTCCAAAAGCTACATGATATCCTATTTCCTTATTAATATCCTGATTAAGATAAAATTTGCCGAATGAAAAAGGGAAATAAATATTATTTCTCTTAAAAAAATTGTGTTAATCTGTAAACTTTTTAATAAGTTATAACATTATAAAGTTAAAAATAAAATAAAAAATTAAACCGAGAATTTTCACATCGAAATAGCATTTGGTAGCTATTTTCACCGTGAAGACAAAATGAAGTCCGAAATTTTTTTTTTCCGTAATAAAGTATATTTCATCAGCTTTAATTTAAAATATATGTAAAAGTGTCAGACTTTCCGAAACACTTTCAAAAGTTAAGTTGAAAAAGTTAATTTTTTGTAAAAAAAAGTCATTTTAAATCCCCCCTTGTAGGCAGGTAAAGGGTCAGATATATAAAAAAAATATACCAAATGAAAGATAATGGTATCATGCATCTATATAAAAAAGTTATGGTAATTTTTGAGGGTAATGTCTTCGACTAGATACGATTTGTGATCTTTTGACGTATCATTGAAAGAAATCTGTTCAGTGATAGCTGAAAAAAAGTAGTAACTGTCACAAAAAATATAACACATCATAGTAAAACTAATACCTTTTCAGGTTCGCATTGNATAACACATCATAGTAAAACTAACACCTTTTCAGGTTCGCATTGAAGCTAAAATAAATTTATAAAAAAGCTGGCATCATCGCATATATCTAAAATAGGGTTAAGTTCATTTACAATATCTTTTGTCTTTTTACTATAGTGGTCAGTAATATCACATTTAATTACAAATGAGTGTTATTCTTGATATATTAATATATATCAATATTTTTGCAAATATTATGATTTATGCAAGTTTTAAATTCATTAAAAGTACTAGTTGGTATATTTTTATATAAAAAGAAATCTTATAATGCTAATAAGTAACAACAATTAAAACTTAGTCTTGTTTTTTAAATATTTATATTAATTTCTTCTATTTATTACTATTTATATTGTATAAGTAATTTTCTAAATTATTTAATAGTAGAAGATCAATATTATCATTTAATTATTGATATTTACCTCATACTAATGTATATTTATAATACATACTCAACCCCATTACTCTTATAAATTTTATTTAAATAATATTAGTACAAAACTAAAATTAAGTAAATTGGGGTTATGATGATCAATTGTTTTCAAAATAATGCATATGAATATTTTAAATGTAGAATGTTTTACAACCATGAATTTATTTTTTAATTGATGTAGACACTTTAATTATAAAGAAAACATTAAAGCCAATTACTAGACAGTAGATATTTTAAATTGCTTAGCTTTAATTAGTCTAAAATATATTTTGTGTTGGTATTTCATTTATCTCAGCCTACAAGATGAGTGAAATTTTTATTCTTGTGTAGAACTCCAGAAGTATACACAGTGATTCTTTTTATGCTAGCCTCTCAATTTCTTTTAAAATTTAATGAATTTCTTTTGAAATTTTTTTTTTGGTTTCTTGTTAGTTAAATATGTATTTCCATTTATCTGTTATAAAATCATTTTTAGGTTCATCTCTTATGTCTTATAAAGGTGTGAACTTTATTTTTTTAAATTACAACATACATATTAAACTTAATAAATTATAAATTTGAAAATGTTCTAATTAAGAAAATAACTAGTCGATAATAACTTTTGAACCAGTATTTCAGAAGAGGGTGTTGCTGTTTTTATCACTAGTCATTTCATACTCTTCCTTCTGCCTAAGTATGAAAATGAAAATAACTTCTAAAGTACTGGTCAAAAAGTTTTTATCAACCAGTCATTTTCTTAATTAGATAATTTTTTATTTTATAAACTTCTTTAATATGTATATTGTCATTTATAAAATTTAAATTTATCTTGATATAAGAGATTGAATTAAAAATGTTTTTAGAATATATAAATGGAAATTCACAAGTAACTAAAAAAAATTTTCAAAACGCATATTATTTTGAAAGAAATTGAGTGGCTAGTGTTAAAAGAATCACACTCTGTATGCATTTATACATTTTGTTTAAGCTACTTTGTAGGGTCGCAAATTTATGCAACTTTTTAGTAGGAATATATCAATGACTTAATACAAAAAAAAGTTAAGTGCTTTTTCACCCCTTTTCTAGGAAAGAAACTTCTATGAAGTGAAATGAAATTTAGTTCGAACGCAAAACATTGAATTTTAATTTATCCTAGTTGACTATATTTAGGATAAATGTAAATGACTTTGCTCTGGTACAGATAAAACCAATTTTCTATTAAAATTCAGTTATTTAATTTAGAACGAGAAAATTACATTAATTCGTATTAGAAATAAGATTATATAAAATTATATTGTAGGGTAATCTTTCATACAAGAATGTGTTTTTTTTTTGTTTTTTCTCTCAAAAAGTTTAAACAAATAGGAATGACATATCTTCTAATAATTAGAATAAATTAAATAAATTTATGTCCAATAATGCAAATAAATATTTCATTAAGGCGTTAGGGTACTCAACTTTTTTCAGGGATGGAATATAGGCAAATTAATGATTTTTTTTATGTTACGCGGTGTTGTTGTGTGAGAAGTAAATGATTA